TTCCAGAAAACTACTCCGAAGACAGGCGATGCGTCATCTGCATCTCCAGTAGCAGTCACTGTGGCACCGACGACCTCGGCAGTGCTGCCAGTCGCTAGTCGGTCCCCACTGGAGAATGAGCATCCGCCCACCTTAGCGCCACCAGTCACCCACGCCACCAGCACACCGACGCCCACATCGACGAGCAGTCATCACCTTCGAAGCAGTAACCGGAACCGTGGACAACGACGACAACAGCCCACCTGGAGCGTGGGCCAGTGCGTTCAGGCGCAGGACCACCGCGGAAAGTGGTACCCCGCCAAAATCCAAGAGATAAAGGGCCGCANCCCCGCCAAGATCCAGGAGATAAAGGGCCGCAAACTGCTGGTCCACTTTCATCGATGGAGGTAAATGCTAGATACCCTTTAAGAAGTGCTTGCAGAGCCAGTGCTGTTGTCGCACACTTTTTGGCTCATATTTCATCACAACTTTTTCTTTCTTTTTAGCGCGAAATTTGACGAGTGGTTTGACCAGAACTCTGACCTGATTCGGATGATTAACGAGCCGACACAAAGCGAAAAAGTAGTGAAAAACTTTCAAGTTGATGAGGAAGTTCTCGCTAAATGGACGGGTTCAAAGGTAAACTCTCCTATTTTATCCGTTTTCTTGTTGTTGCTTTTACTTGACTATTTGACTTTGTTTACTCTGTTTTTCAACTAGTTCTATCCGGCAACAATAATCGAGATACAAAACGATTTCTGCGAGGTGCTTTTCGAAGATGGCTACCAAAAGAAAGTCAAGTTGTCTGCACTGAAGAAGATTCCAGCCGACTACGAAAGGGCCCAACTGCCATCAGATTCGGAGGAGGAACAGTCAGAGTACTTTTCTGTAAATCCTAGCAATCTCAGTACCTTTGCCTGTAATATTTGTAGTAAAGTCTTTCGTAAAGAGAGGTAAGTTGTTACTTTCTCAAATCTTTTATAAAAGTTGTTAACGATTACTTTTGTTCAGATTTCTTCTTCAACACATTAAGAACTATCATTCTAAGGAGGAGAAGAAAAGTGAACGTCAGCCAAGTTCATCAAGTCATCATCGTGGACAGCGTAAGCAGCAGGGACAACGCAATGCTGTATCGTCTACTACCGCCAGCACGTC